GGGCGGTGCTAGTCTAGCAATTGCCTGCGCTATCCAGTAGATGGCGCTGCCGCGCAGGATTTGGGCGGAGCGGGTCCCTGGGGATCTGCAGGGAGGGAGCAGTTATGCTGCGACTCCCTCCCGATTGTGCGACTCTCAGTTCCGTCCCAAGGGACTCTGCCTCACAAAGTCTCAGCAACCGCTGCAAACCTCGGAGAGAACGCTGCCCTCGAGTTCCGACCGAGGCCAGTCCGTCCCACCTCTCCCGTCTGCGTCCCTAGCGACTCGCCCGGATCTGGAGCTCAGAGTCTGCTACTCCCTCTCGATTGTTTGCGCCGCTCCCTTCGCCCCGCCGTCCGCGCCGCGCCGCCAGCCCTGCTCCGCGCGCACTCGTACCTCAGAATTTCACTTCAGCACTGCGCCGCCTCTGAGTCTGGAAATAATATTCTCTTTACTCCTAGTTGTAGAATTTCCACTTAGCCAGCCCTCCTGTGGCTCTGGACGTTGTCCTTTCCCTGGATCAAGCTTAATTTGAATTGGTTGTTTAAGGCAGCAATCTCTGGTGTTAACCTATGCCGCCATCTTCGGTTCTCTAATCTTTTTCTTTAAGACCTGTGTGGTTTGCATTATTTACAGAAAGGCCTCCACGTTTATTTCTGCCCTCTGATTATTAAAGCACATAAGTTCTTCCATAGGTTCTTCTCTCTACCTTGCCTTCCTTCTAGAATATGTATGCAGAAAAGTTAGATCAACAGGTACTCAGGATAGAGTTTGTGAACTGTAGGACACATTGATGTCAGTTGTGGGTAGGTGGGATGGCTGTGAATAATGCAGACTGCAGACTTTTGCATTTTCATGAACTTTAGTACCAGGAAAGGTCAGTCAGTAATGATTAAGCCTGGCGAACAGAATGTTATGTCTGTATTCAACTGTGTTGGGACATGTGTTTTTTAAACTGGACTATATCAATTTATTATAGGCTGGGAGATTGCATTTACTCACATTCTGATTGGTGCAAACCGGCTTGTCTTCCAGAAACAGTTTTTGGATATTTATAGTCCTTCACATTTGATATTAGACTTATATCATTTAGTGTTCACTAAATTATTATTAAAAAACACTTGATTTTAAAATGTTACCAATAGTGCTGTAATGGTATAATGGATAATTTTGTACTCTGGATATAACTGGAAAATATGTTCCTAAAAGTGCAGTTGCTAAATCATAGGGCACATGTGTTTGAAATTTTTACAAAATGTCAACTTGTCTTCCAGGTAGTCATTTATAGGTGGGCTTTTTCCTTGTTGTAATTAAGGTATAATTTATATGTTGTAAGTACATT